TTATTGCTGTGAAGGGACACCATGACCACAGCAACTCTTATAAAGGAAACATTTAATTGTGGTGGCTTGCTTACAATTCAGTGGTTCAGTCCATTATCATTATGGCAGGGAGCACAGCGGCTTGCAGGCAGGCATGATGCTGGACAAGTAGCTGAGTGTCCTACAACTTCTAGGCAACGGGAAGTCGGCTGTCACACTGAGTGAAGCTTGAGAAAAAGACTTCAAAGCCCGCCCTCACAGTGACACACTTCCTCCAACAAGGCCATACCTCCTAATTGTGCCACTCCCTTTGGGGGTCATTTTCTTTCAAACCACCACACGAAGCATTCAAATACATGAGCCCATGGGGGCCATTCTTATCCAAACCACCACAAGGGCCTTCACATTCTTGGAGCAGAGGGAACGAACAAGGATTCAGAAAGAACAATATGGATATTGAGACCACTACCTGGTTTGTATCAAAGGTGAAGACAAGCTCAAGAATGGTTCTTGTGGTAGGGCTGGGGGAATGTCACTCATGGGTATTATTGTCCTTCCACAAGGGAATGGGAACTTCCATTCCATAAGAGATGTGCAACTTCAAAATGAAATGAGAATTGGCTGGGTTTGGTTTTGGGCTTAGGAGTGCTGTGAAAAAAAAAATCACCAAGACACTAGAGGTTTCATTTGCCATTGGGTTTTGGAGCCTCCAGTACAGGAACAAGGTCTGTGTTTGGAATTTGAAAGTTTTCTGGAAATTTCAAATTGCCTCAAGATAAGGTAGGAAGCACGGGTGTTAAGCTAGACAGAGGTCTCTTGGGCCTTCTCGGCAGCCATAACTGCCAAACACAGTAGGTGGGTGTCTGGGGATGGGACCAGGTTATTGAAATGACCACATCACCTGCATTTCCAAGAGCAGCCTTGCCTTATTCCAAAGGGAACATGTGCATCACAGTGACAGAACTGTGAAGGGAATCCCTTGGCGCCACCCCAGTTCAAGGAAAGAGGGAAGAAAACAGCAACCACAAACTGGCCATAAGAGGGCAGAGTTGTTACTTTTTTCCTTATGGAACTGGGAAACCATTTGGAAGAAGAAAGGATTCTTGGATGGTGCACATTCTATGTTGAATATGCACATGCATAATTTGCTAAGGAGCAAGTGTAGAGTATTGGCTTCAGATTCCAAAAACCTGTTTCCAAAGTGTCTGTACGCATTGGCTGACAGTCTGCTTGCTATGTCTGTGTATGTGTAGGTGGACATATGTGGGTGTGCATGTGGAGGTCAGAGGGTGAGCCACGGGACTGTGTTCTTTCTGCCATGTGGGTCCTAGGGATCCAACTCAGGGTGGCAGGCTTGGCCGCAAGCTGCTTAATCTGCTGACGTCATCTGGCCAGGCCTAGGCCAGTTTCTTTCTTTTCTTTCCTTGTTTTTGTTTGTTTGGTTTTTCAAGACAGGGTTTCTCTGTGTATCCCTGGCTGTTCTGGAACTCGCTTTGTAGACCAGGTTGGCCTCAAATTCATGTAGATCTGCCTGCCTCTGCCTCCAAAGTGCTGGGACTAAAGGCATGTACCACCATGCCTGGCCTATGTCAGTTCCTTAACAAACAAAAAGAAAGAATGCAGGATGGCCACATCAAGTCCTAGCCCCCAGCATTGGGTGCCGGAGTGTGGGATCAATTCTGAAATCACGCTGTGGGCCCCAGGGATGGTTTGGTGGGTAAAGTGCTTTGCTGAATAAATGTGGAGATCTGAGTTCAGATTCTCAGCCCTCACATAAAAACCAAGTGCAGCAGCGAGCATCGGTTATCCCAGTGCTGGGGGAGACACAGGGACAAGAGGGTCCCTGGGGCTGGCTGGGCAGTCAGTCTAGCCGAAATGATGAGCCAGGTTCAAAGAGACTGTGCCAAAATGTAAGGTAGAGAGGGATAGAAGGGCACACCCGACACCAGCCTCTGCGAACAGCTCACATGTGCACACACGTGCCTATCACACACACACACACACACACACACACACACACACACACACACACACACACACAGTGTGTGTGTGGGGGAGGTTCTATAGAGAAGGTTCATGACCAGGATGATGAATTGTCTCAGAATCCCAGCACCTGCAGAAGGTGGGAGTAATTAATTTGAAAAAGAAGTAAGCACCAGTGGACACTGGAGCTAACTGTTGAACGGGAAGCTGCAGAGCTAGGGTTTGCCTGTTTTACCGCACTGAAGATTAAAACCAGGGCCTCGAGCATGCCAGGCAAGAGCTGTACCACTGAGCTACACTCCCAGCCTACAAAGCCAGTCTATTCTTAAAGACAGGGCAAAATCAGGAGACTGAAGTGACTTGAGCCAGAGCAAGGATATCAGGTATCAGAAGTATTTGACCTGAGCCATCCCCGAATGAAAAGGTCAATGGGATTCTGGGGACATCAGCCACAGGCTGCCTGAGACACAGGCACAGGGAGCATCACCTGGCATGTGGACTCTGGAGAGACTGAGCTGTGACCATTGAAGTGGGGTCGGGGAGGGAAGCATCACCCACTCAGCCTCTTTTTCTCACCTCCCTCTCCCTGCCTTCACTTTTCTAGGGACCCCTTGAATATCCAAGAACACCCAGAGACCTTGTGACAAAATTGAACCGGTCAAATATCCATAATCTACCACTTTTTAGCTGTGTAACCTTGGACAAGTCACTCAGTCCTGTGAGATAAAAGACAATGATATAAAGGGGCCTGTCCAGGGCCTGGCATAGCACCTAGCTGCCCAGCCCAACATGAGGGCTATGGTCAGTCCTGTCTGTGTCCCTTGCCTTCTCTGTCACCAGAAGACAGTGGGAAGGACAAGGGGACATGTAGGAATGAGTGATGCTCTCTGTGGTCCACTCCTGTGGCTGCCAGCAATTGCAGTCAGCTATACAAGCAAGCCTGCTGATCTCATGAGAAGTCCCACAGTTCTAGTGGTAATGTATTGCAGATGAGATTCCTCATGAAGCAAGCTGTGAGATCAAAATGTCAAGCTGGCATGTCCTGGGGCAGTATCCTGGAGCTCAGCACTTGGAAATGGACAGGTCAGGAGGAACAGCTCCCAAGAGAGCAGCCTAGCTATGGTACAGACTCAACCCCTAGGGGGCGCTATAGGCGGATGCCACGTAGTGTAGCTGTGAGTTGCCCTGATTTCAGTGCTATCCTATTCCCACTGGATGTGGGCTGCCCAGGGAGGGCTGAGGTTCCCAAAGGAAGGAACTTCTGCTGGCTGAGGGTTACCTACTACCGACAGCTCTCTCAGCAATCAGCTAGAAGTTGGGGTGCCGAGACCCTCACTGAGGGGATTTCCTGGTGCTGATCATGACGTCCCCAGACGGTGACAGTACCTATCGGTCTCATCACCACGGTTTCTCTGCTTGACTGCGAACATCTAGGGGTCCAAGAGCAGGGGCTTGGGAAGGCCCTCTTCAGAGGCTACATGCCCACTGGACTAACGACCACTTTTGATGTATATCCTCTGAGTAATACGTTACATTTGTAGTATCTAACGCAGAGGCATCACGGGAAGATGGAGACTCCGAGAGAGGACAAGCCGGCTGAGGCAGAGGGAGAAGCAGGCTGCTGCTGTGAGCACAGGACTCTGTGCCGGCCTGAGCAGCCTGACTAGGGTGTGGCAGTTGGAGCTGTGAGTGAAGTCCCCTCTTCTTGATCCTCGCATCTCCTGGCCTGGACCTCTCGTCCCACTTGGCCAGGAGGCCAGTCTCTCCTTGATGCGCGCCCCCCACCTGCTCCATTTACCTCGCAGGCCCAGGGAGACAGGCCAGGACGAGCAGGAGGCAGAGAGTTCCCTGGAGTAGTCATGGTGGCGTCACAGGCAGGTACAGGTTGAGGACCAGTAATCTGAAAATCCCCAAGTCTGAAGAGCTCCAAATAGTGACACTTTTAGACATGAAAGAAAAATCCCTTATCTGACCTGGGCAGTACCCAGTCAAAACACAGGTTTTGGTTTTGGTTTTTCTTGCCACAAAGGGTAATAAAATGACACAGGTACCTGGATGACACCAGCAGGCTTCCAGTGATGTTCCGCACAGGACCAAGGCTTTTGCGTGTGACCCACTGTGCCTTTTGCTGATCCTCCCTCATCGTGTAAAATATTGCTGCAAATGTCAGTAAGGCCTTCGGGTTCGGTATAGGTCCCAGCACTAAGAAAAAGTGTTCACATAGCCCAGGGAGCTAAGCTGCTGGGAAGCTGGACCGTGTGAGTGTGGCGTCTTTAAAAAATATTTTAACTAATTAGTTATGTGTGGCAGGGTGGGGGGTTGAGGAGTGTGTGCCAAGGGTACATGCGGTGGGTGGTTGAGGACAACTTGTGGGTACTGGTTCTCTCTTTCTACCATGTGGGCCTTGGGTTGGTGGCAGGCGTCTTACCCCCTGAGCCATCTCACTGGCTGGAAGGTGGAGTCTCTCAGAGGAACATGGTATGACTGACCTCCAGGTATGGCTCAAGGAACAGAGGGCACACTTGCGAGGTCTGGGCTGAAGTTAGTGGTAAAATATGAGAACCCCAAATCCCGATGAAACTATCTTCCCGCTGCGGGTGTAAGAGTATATATAACACATAAGTGGATTTCGTGTTTGGATTTGGATCTCTTCGCCATGGACACGTGAAGACTCCAAAATCTAAAATTAAATCTGAGACCCCAACACTTCTGTCCCTGAGCGTTTCATAGAAGAGATGCCAGACTGTATTTTGATTGGAGAGCTTTCTCCGTAGAGGAGGTTGAGGGATGCTGGTCAGTGGAGTGTGTGGAGCATCGAAGACAAAGGGCAAAGGTCAGTCAAACCCAGGCCTCTGTATCTCTGAGGCGAGGGACCGAGACAGACAGCTTCTCTTGGACTCAATGTGCACATGGGTTAAATCAAGTTCTATATGCACTGAGTAGGTGTTGAAGACATTGTTTTATCCCCCCGCCCCCATCATGTTTCCCTAGGAGATGGGGTTTTGGGGGTTTGCCGTGGAAAGAAGGAAGGCCCGAAGGAAAAGGAATGGCGACAGCCCTGTATTTAGGGGGTGAACAGAAGTGCACAGAAAGCTGCAGACTGAGCTACTGTACGGGGGTAATTATGGCTGCTATTTTTGCACATTTGTTTAACAATGTTAATTTGGCGACAGCCTGGTATTATAACATCCTCTCCCACACAGAAGTGGCTTTAGTTCCCAGTCACCAGAATCCATTTGCATTTTCTCTGGAGGGTTTGGGGCTGGGGAGCTGGTGACTCACAGCTGTGGTGGCCCCAGGCAAAGCTCTTCTCCCTGTGAGAGTGGGACTTAGCTCATGGCACTGTCACCCTGGGATGAGAGGAACTTGACCCGGCCCAGTCTCCCTCTCAATGGCCTGCTAGCCTCACTCCTGGCCTCTTCTATCTTGGCAAGGGATCGACTATTCCACAGTCATTCCGCCAGAGCAGATTTTTGGAGAACTCGGGAAGTGGTTGTTTAATGTCCCAGGAGCACAGGCCCGGGAGGAAGAGCATGAATATTCATGAATTGAAGGCAAGGTCGAAGAACGGCTTCTGAGGGAGGGCCAGCAAAGTGTCACTACTAGACGTCACTGGAGACAGCTCAAATGCCTCTCTGCTGGGGACCACACATGTGGGTACCGAACAGGATGGGGACCAAGACAGAGAAGCCTGAGTTTAGATAGATTCTCAGACAACAGTCTTTCACCTCATAAATAAAGACAGAATGGTATCAGAAAAATCACCATTTTAAAGTTACTACGGAATGAAACTGGGCTACGCTTGTCAATGGCCACAATATCCTAGGTGTATATCACAGGCCCCATGGAAAAGCACTGGGACTGGGATCCATGTCCAAGAAAGTGTCTGGACTCACCTATCAATTCACAGGAGCTAGAAGGACCAGAAAAACAAAACCAGCATCAGCCTAGGGATCTAGTCACAAAACTCCACGCTGTGGGGTGCTCTGTGGGCAGACAGACAGAGGATAAGGAGAATGACCCCAGCGACAAGAAGAAATGGGTTCTGGTAATGGGAAGATAGTGTGGGATCTCACATACTCTAAGATGCGGTCACACATACATTTTAAATACCTGAGCAAGTCGAACGGTAACGCGGGTATTTGGTGAATTAGAAGTCACGCGGCTCACATGCACAAAGCGTTGGTCCCATTTGCAGCACTGCCCCCCGAAATATTTTCACTGTTTCCCGTGTATCATGGGCCTTGTGAGACTGAAAGAACCCACATTTCTTACAGACACACAGCGAACAAGCTGCAGAGGGCATGACCTGATTCTAAAGATTTACTTCTGCACAATCTCGAGTTGAACGTGGTTGGTCCTCGTTGAGCCTGAAGGAGGGGAAAGGGGACGCCACTGCACCTCCTTCGCTGCCAGTTACCTTTTGTATATGTGTGCTATGTGTGTTTGCTTGTGCACACGTGTGCATGAAGGTTTGTGAGCACATGCATGTGTAGGTGGAGGCCAGAGGTTGATTGAGTGTCTTCTGCTCACTGATTGGCTGGTCAGAGAGAGCTGAGGATGCCCCTGTCTCTGACCCACTTCCCCCAGACTAGGGTTGCAGAGGTATGCCACTCTGCCTGGCTTTTTTTCTTGAGTGCTGGGGATGTGAACTCAGGTCCCCATGCTTGTGTGGCAGGGACTTGCTCTCTCCATGGCCCCTCTCTTCTAGTTTTGGACAGGTTCTGAAGATATATAAAACAGTACTTTCATTTATTTGATTTTTCAGGATAGGGTTTCTCTGTGTAACAGCCCTAGCTGTCCTGGAACTCGCTTTGTAGATCAGGCTGGCCTCGAACTCACAGAGATCTGCCTGCCTCTGCCTTCTAAGTTCTGGGACGAAAGGTGTGTGCCACCACCTCCTGGCTAGTACTTTTAAAATAATAGATTTCTTGCAGACTTCAGGCTTTGGTGTCACACCAATCTAACCTTCAGTTCTTGGACTCTGAGGGTCAACTAAAGGACATTCCACTTCATGCTGACCCTTAACACCTCACCCCTACTGTCTTTGTTTCCTGCACCCAAGTGACAGGGCTGACATGCCCAGCAGCTCAGATGTCCAGAGAGGATCGTAGGTCTTTTATGGTGAGCTATGAGCTCTGTGAAGGATGGAGGGTTCCAGGTACTTCTTGATAAGGCAGATCATTTAGTTTCCCTGTGTGTCTTCCACTACAAGATGGACAGACTAATGCTCCTGGCATGGGATTGCTGCAGGTACAGAATGCAGCCTATTGGATCGACACAGAGAGAATGCAGGCAAGGCCAGGTGCTTCTAGACTGGGACACTGCCTCGGAGAGCTGGCACCATTGGGAGGTTGGGGCTGCCACAGTAGAGGGTGGATATGCTCCAGGCACGTGGCGGCTTGAGACGTTGCTAAACAGTCTGCCATACATACAGAGAATTTCCAGGTCAAAGTATCAGTGTTCCTGAGGTGGAGGGATTCTTCCCTGTTTGGGTGGGGTAGGTGGGTAGGAGGGTGCTTAAGCCCTGTTTGTGGGATTAGAAACCAGAGAGCCTGGATGGAGATGTAGCTCAGTGGTATAGATTTGCTTGTTAGGTACAAGGCCCTAAGTTTAATCCCAAGTGCAAACAATAAACAAACAAAGTAACAGCTCCCCTCTCCCAAGTTTTCATTCTGGAGGCAAGGAGGCTGTCTGGTTACAAAAAGTTCACTCAGTACTCCTTGGTTTTTCCCAAAGACATGATTGGTCATCGAGTCTGCAGGGAGAGACAGAGGCTGTGACTTAGCCAGTACTTTTTTCAAGGTGAACCTGGACCCTGCAGGATGCTGATGATGGTATTGATGTCAGACCCTGGGGGTGAGCTATGTAACACCCTGGCCTCTGGATTTACCATTTTGGTGTCTGTCACTGAGATTTTTCACTAGGACTTGGGTATAAGGTCGTGTTGTGTACTGTGGAGTATTTGATAGGGAACCATAGGGTCACGGAGCAAGACAAAACATTATCAAATCCCTACTGGATGAAGAGCAGATATGTGATGAGTAACATAACTTATGGAAATGAAGATCTACATGCAAAGAAACCAGAGTGCCTGTCTTAAAAAGCATGTAACTCAACAGGGTATATTAAACACATTTGCATACCACTCACAGACAGTGGCTGGGAAGGAACGAACAAAACACTAAAATCCAGGTCTCCTGTGGACCACTGATGGGTGTGTGCTGTGTTTTAGAAGGCATGCTTAGCTCAGATTCTGCACTGGCTGTGGGAGTAAATAACTAAAATGAAGCCATGGAGGATAATTACTCCATGATAGAATTGCCTATAGAAGGTGATAAGCAAATGGTAGCCACAACCAAAATAATGTATTAGTACTAAGGTAATGATTATGAGTAGTAATGGGGTTACATTACTACAGGTCTTACAAATCAGTTTTAAAAAAACTCTTCTCTTTCTTTTTCCTTCCAATGGTGGAAAGAGCTCATGACTGAACTTCATGGTTATTGAGACAGGACCTCATCATGTAGTCCAGGTTGGCCTGGAACTTGTGTATCCTGGCCTGGTCTCTGTCCCAGTCTCCCCAGCACTGGCATTACAGATGTGCCCCAAACCAGACTCCATTCACAAGAACATGAAGCATTCTCCCAAGGGAGCAAGCAGGGAGAAATTCCGGGGATGGGTCAAAGAGAGAAGCTGGTCTACAGGATCATCCCCATAGGAAGAAAATGAATGAGAGAGACTTGAAGGGCCCAAGAGGGACAACTGGTGATGTTTTTCTGGACTCTGGTCACCAGGCAGCGACATCCTACCTCTGCAAAGTCCCTGACACGTTCTGATGACTGGGTGTCCAGTTACCAAATAGCTTCTCTCCCTGTAGGATTCCTGGGAACCCTTTGGGAATTTCCCATCACCCAGATGAGCAGGGATCCAACTCTGAAATTGCCTGAATGACCCAAGACAACACTTCTCACATCTTAGAGTGGACAGGCTGAGTTCACTGTCACCACGCTCCCCCCCCCCCATGGAGCTTTGAGAAATGCTTTCTTGAAGGAATGGAAATATTCCTCCCTCCTGTCCAGCTGAGGATCTGCTGACACACTAGTCTTCCTCCAGTTGTTGGTGAGCAGAGTGGGTAAGCTTCAGCCCAGAAGATCCCGAATTGCACGCAGCCTTTTCAGTGTGGGTTGACGTCATGAGTAGAGATGGCAGTCGAGGCGTTGGGAGGCTCTTAGGGAACCCTGCATCACCGTTCTTCCCACTTAGGCCTTTCCCTCTCTCTCTGATTATGGAAAGGGTACGTTTGCCAAGCTGAGTATTTAGAATTGCAGATGCCAAATTCTTGGGCTTGAAATACAACTTTCAGAGCATTGCAATTACCAACCCTGAGTAAATCTCTAACCTCCTCCGTGTGTGTATGTGTGTGTGTGTGTGTGTGTGCACGTGCACATGTATGTGTGCAAGAATGTGCATGTGTGTGCCAGAGAGTGTGCACACATGTGTTTGTCAGAGTGTATGTGCACATGTATGTGTGCAAGAATGTATGTGCATGTGTGTGTATATGTGTGTGCTAGAGAGTATGTGCACGTGTGTGTGTGCAAGAGTGTGTGCACATGCCAGAGTGTTGTGTGCACACCAGAGTGTGTGTGCACATGTATGCCAGAATGTATGTGCACATGTGTGTGTGCACATGTGTGTGTGTGTGCCAGAGAGTGTGCACGTGTGTGTGCATTCACCTGTGGAGATCAGAGGTCTCAATGCCCAGTGTTTTCTTTAGTTAGACTCCACTGTACTTTCTTGAGAGAGGATTCTGATTGAGCCTGGGCTCAGCAGCTAGAATGTTTGGCTGGCCAGCAAGCACCAGGGATCCTTCTACCTCTGCCTCCCAGTACTGGAATTACAGATATGTGCCTCTATGTGGGTTCTGGGAATCAAACTCAGGTCCTCATGCTTGATTGACAACCCTTGATCAGGCTGTCTCCCCAGCCACCATGTTTCTGAATCTGTTTAGAAACGTCTTTAGGTCTTACAATCCTTCCATTCATAGGGCAAAGAGCTTTAACAGTGGTCATACTCACAAAAACCTGCTAGGAACTAGACACTTTGATGAAGGCTGTAATGTGTGCTGATGGTAATGTCGAATGATGCCCTCCTGTGGGAGCTGAAATTGAAGTCATGGTGTCTAAACTGACATTCACAAGAGCTCGTATTTGAGCTCACAACAGCAAATTCTTTATTGGGTAAAGTCAAGCCTGAGAACTGACCTTGACATTCAGGGCATTTAGACTTTCTGTGGATTTCATAGATGATACTCACTTGATCTCTACCATTTTCTTAATAAAAGACAACTTAATCTGAGGGGATTTTACAATTTTTGCTGTGTTTGGGATTTTAAAATAAAGATTTACTTATTTTTATTTTATGTATATATGAGTGAGTGTTTTGTCTGTCTGTATGTAAGTACACCACATGTATGCAGTGCCTATGGAGACCAGGACATTGGATCCTCTGGAACTTGAATTATAGACCAGTGTGAGCCAACACATGGGTGCTGAGTACCAAATCCAGGTCCTCTGCAAGAGCAGCAATTGCTCTTAACCACTGAACCATCTCTCTAGGCCATGTGCTTGAGTTTTGAAAACAATATATTATGGAGTGTTCTCACACAGGTTGTACCGAATCTGAAATGGGGTGGGAGATATATGAGTGTGGGTGGATTTAAAATAAAATTTGACTGAAGTTGCATTCACTCTGAACATGGTGATACATGGTCTCTTTATGGTCCCCAAAGCCCTCAAGCCTGGTTAATTAATGATGGATGAGTGCAAAATGAATTATTCAAAAGCCAACAAGTGAAGAACTTCTGCAGTTGGAGGTCTGAGACTACAAGGTCACCTCAAAGGTCTGTTGGCCTTCCTCAGGACTGGGTGTCCATTCTTGGCCATGACCACAGGAAGAATAGCAGCTTGGCTCTGGAACGCTGAGCACTTGCCATCCTGGTGCTCAAGGGCAAGCTGCTGGTGCATCCTAATGGACGCCAGCTTGAGGGATGACTCTGGAGCCAAAGTACTGGGCTTAAGCCCATAAACTTGACACCTTGCCCAAAGGCACAGCCTTGTCTGAGAAAGTGAGGCCACTGAAGGCTGGGAGGGAGCAAGGATGGTACTGGGACCTTTAGCATTTTGTAAGAAGCCAGTAATCCCCAGTAGGATTAATGAGGAGGTGGCTTTATCTCTATTCCTGAGGGTAAATTCCATCAGATCTAGGCCCAAGTTCTTAATCCTGAGGTGAGAACCCTCTGAGGAAATTAAAACTATCTAGAACCCCTAGAGTGTGCAATGGTCTTGACATAATCTGGAAGTTTGTTAGAGACATAGCCCTTACCCAGAATAGCATCTGGATCTTGGGGCTGGAAGAACATCGGCAAAGCCAATCAGGAAGTGATGTCTTGCATTTCCAAGGTGGTCACTAAAGCAGATGCCAACTCTCTTCCTACAGTGGAAGTTGGGCTTCTCAACCCTCAAGTTGCAGGATCTATGTTCCTGCACTTCAATCTGGGTGGTTGGATGATGACAATAAAAGTGACTTTGAGTCACTTCCAAGGCTTCTCCAAAACAAGAGGTATGGCTCTGGGGATAGTCCTTCTTAGCTCCCAACTGTTGGGCTGTGAGGAAATCCCATCTGTACCCAGGTGTTCCAGCCAATAACCTCAACTACTGCCTGCCAGTGGACCCCAGTGGCCAGACAAGTGAACAAAAAAGTCTTTGAAATAACAGTCATTGCTCAAGTTTAATTACTTGTGCGACTCTGAGCAAGAGGTACCTTGCTGAGGCCCAGCTAACCCCCTCAAATAGTATGACATGGCCGCTGTCACCTTAAGTTTTGGGGGATAATTCCATCTATGATGATAGATAATCATCCTATTTCTCTGGCCAAAGGGTGGTTCAGGAATGGGTATGTGACCCAGAAATGACCAGGGAGACATGAGGTGAGTCTGCGGGGTTTGCTTCTGGGGATGCTGTCTTTGTCTCTAGGGATGATAAAAGAAGGGGTACCCCCTGTACCTCTGCTGGCATTGCTGCATCTTCCAGATCATATTTTATGTGATCATCTTGCTGCTGACCCAAGGATAAAGTCAACTCTAGAAAGCACAACCAAGAGATGGCAAGAGTTGGGTTATTAAAAAATCTTTTGATCAAGGAAAGGCTATGAATAGTTTCTGAGATGAGTTTATGGATGGAAAAGAAATTATCATATTGGTATGGTGTTGATACATTCACCCATACCTTCATGGGAGAAGAAAGGGACCCAGACTCATTGCTAGGGAAGCGCACATGGCCCGTTCCAGGGTGGGAACCTCCTGCCCCCCTTGACTTGACAACTCAGTCTCAGGCTGGGGATGGCCCACTCTAACAATACCACGGTCAACAGTCGGCTTGCAGTTAGGAGTAAATTCTATTTTTTCCCCATGTGTACAAAACCAAGCCTGGCACAGTGACAGAGAAAGTGTTTTAGAGAGAGAAAAGTGCATCTTGGGTGTTAATAACATTGACAAAAATTGGAGTCAAGCATGTCTAAACATTTGTCCAGTTTGAAAATTCCACTTAGTCTCCAAACGGACTCTTGCAAACAGCAACAAAAGCAAATGATCATTGTGAGGCGCCAACGGTGTGGGAAGCCGGGGCCTGCCCGTCACTCTCAGTTCACAGGCAGATACAGAAATTGGCAGACAAGAACAATGTAGACCAGATCATTAGAGGTGTGGGCGTGGGTGTGGAGAGTGGGCTTGGAAACAATTTCAGCTGAGCTTCTCAGAATAGAAGGGGTTGCCCGAGGATTCGCAGTGAGTCAGTGACAGAGCTGAGAGACAAAACAGCTTCTCTCATCCTTCCCTTCCCCTGTGCTGGGAAACCAGTGTGGCGACCTGTTACGAAGCAATCTGCATGTGAGGGGCTGAGTTGTGCCCTCTCCCAAATTTGTACTCTCAGACGGATGTAGTGGGTAGCCATTCCAGCTTTGATCTGGAAGTTCCAACCCCCACTGAGGCTTCAGTAACTGTCACGCCTACAAGGCGGGGCCAAGAGAGGGCCCTGAAGACCTTATGGGCCGCTCTCTTGGTTCCTGGACCCTGGACGCTGGAGGTAGACCGAGCAGAGTTCTCCAGAGAACACCGCTGGACTGCGCCATGCCTTTCCCAGACCCTTCATCCTACCTATCCCTTCACTTGTGAGTTACCCCACAAAATAAACCTCCCTTTTAACTACGTGGAGCGGCCTTAATAATTTCACCAATAGACCACACTCTCCAGTTCTCAGAATGTGAATATATTTCTACATGGGTCTCAAACTAGCTATGTAGGTGACAGTGACCTTGAACAACCCCTCTACATCCTAAGTGTTAGGATTACAGATGTGTGCCGCCATACCTGGAATATGTAGGGTTAGGGGTTGTATGCAGGGCTTCATGCATGCTAGATCAGCACTCTACCAACTGAGATACTCCCCCCAGCCCCTGGTGTCCTTTCAAGAGGTAATTTGGATGTACCAAAGAAAACAAAGTATCAGAGGCACATGGGCACACAACAAGAAGGTGGCCATCTCTACACGTGGAGGAAATGTCCCACAGATCAGTCCTCTGACAACTTGATCTTGAACTTATGGCCTCTTGCAAGCTGACTGAGTCAGTGCCCCTCTGTAGGCCCCAGCTGTGTGGTTTCCTGTGCCACTTGCCAGAGTCTGCTAGTTACCCGCTGTGACTTTGTGTGATCAGGGACATTTGGCATCTTAAAGAGAGCGAGGCAAAAGTGAGCACAGCAAAAATGCACAGCAAAGAGAGTGCCACATTGGCTCGCCACTCAGAACTCTCAGAAAGAACCTCGGTCAAGCTGGGCGGACACCTGGAGAACTGTGGGGGGTTTATGGACTTCCCAGAAGCTACTTGCAGCCGCCCAGCTCAGCTTCCCCATCAGGAAAGTGGTTGTCGCATTGTCTGCCTTCTGGAGGCATGTGATTTGCCCACATATGTCAAATAACTGGGAAGCAGATGCTTCCCCATATTAGGATTAAATTGGCAACCCCCAAATGTTCACAGGCATCCTTGGCAAGGCAGCTGGATCATCTGGGATCTGGCTTGTTTGGGCTCAAAATGCACTGTGTCGTCAAACCTGGCTGGCAGCTACAGTGTCCTTAGTTGGTACAGACACCTGTCTGCATGATTAGATCTTAGAGCCTTGGATGGAAATATGGTCCTTGAAGTCAGGGACAATGCCCCCAGGGTGGGACACAGTGCTTGGAGCTCTGAACACAGAACCGTCAAATCCTGGAGTTCTCATCATCGGTCACTTCTTTGGGTTAAGGCATCAAAAGCCCCTGTGAAATACCTTATCAAGGGGCCGTGTGTATTAAGACATCTTCAGCCGTTAACACCTTTGTGACTTCATTGGCACCGCTGAGTACTTACCTTAGTCCCTGACCAGGGCAGCTGCATTCTGGAAGGATGAAAGACAGAAAGTCCAGGGCCTTGGGGGCAGTGTCACACAGAGACTGTGTTTTGTGGAGGGAGGCCAATGACATTAAAAGCAGAGTGTCTCACAAGGAACTGTTTGCTTGAGGTTTCTGAGTCAGCCAGACCACTGGAGCAGAATCACCTTTTGGCCTCAAGCATAGATCATGGATGGAGAGCCAGGCTGGTTGGCAAGTGTTCAAGTCTGGCTTTGTCTATATCATCAGAAACTCGGCAACTCCAACCTGGCCTTGGCTGACCCGGAAGTGCAGGAATAAAATACAACTAGAACATGGGCATCTTCGGACACAGCACAGTAAGGGGTGCTGTTGGATTCCTGGGGGCCCATGGCTACGATTGGCACTCGAGAGGCAGGACTTCACCCGTGCCCTCAGCCAATCAGCATGCCTGTGACTCCAGGCTCTGATACCCACTGAAGGAAGAGCTACTCTGGGAGCAGGGAGAGGATGTGGTCAAGTAACAATGGCTAAGCAGGGAATGGCCTGGGCCTTGGCTCAGGGGGAAGGGCAAGGCTGTCCAGCCATCCAAAGTTCAGGTGGGGAGGAGACCAGGGCTCAGCAGGGAGATGATGACATCTGGTCGTAGTCCGGGCACTTGAGCAAAGCTGGGTAGTTGCTGTTCATCTGTAGGGAGGCATCGCTGGAGATGTCTGAGGGGCTGCGGCCCCGGATCCAGGCATCTGGATGTAAAAACTGGCCAGAGTAATCAGAACAGTTGCTCAGGCGTGGCCGGTAGAAGCCTGGGTGAGGTCTGTACATGTCCTCGGCAGTATACCTCTTCATGAACAGGTACACAGACATTACCCCAGCACTCTACAGTGAGAGAAGCAGAGGAGAGAGCTCACTTGTAATGCGTCTTCCTGGAACACAGTCACAGAGCCTCTCCAGTGGGATGGCCAGGGCACACGTAGACAGGAGTGTGCTCTGGGATAGAAGAGACCCAGGAAAGCCAGGGAGAGGGACATTCTGGGGAAGACTGGTAGAGTAGGTGGTCCAGGATGCTGTGGGATGTTTCCCTCCTCCCTTCCAGGTAGGGCAGTATCAACCTGGCACAGGACATTATGGGGCAGGTTACCTCTGTTAAAAGGAAGGAGATAGCAGCAAAGGCAAAGGACCATCCATATTTGTAGTTGAAATAGGTCTCTGCATCCTTGGTTCTGTTGAGCATCTCATCATTGATGCTGGAGATGTACAGCACCAGGCCCACCACAAGAGAGAGGCCTGGATGAGAGAAGGGGAGGGAAGGGCACGTTCAGCCCGGTGGTCCGGGGAGTATGTCAATATGGTACCCGCTGGGAACAAAGCCTTCAATTTGGAGTTCCAGAGTGAGCAAGAGCTTGCCTACTAGTGACTCTCTCTGTCTATGCCAGCATCTTCTAGGGAGTGAACTCGTACAAGTAGGCTATCTCCCTGTCCAACCACTCCCCTGAGCCAAGAGACAAGCCTCGTGATTGATACCCACTTCTGTCACACATACCCTCCTGCATCGTTGTTCAGTGGGCCTGCTCTACTGGTCCTGGTGCTACATTGATATGATCCTGGGGATGAACCCTGAGCTACCAAGAGGGCTTTTATTAATGTGAGGACTATGATAAGGCTCCTCAACAGGGCTTCTAATCCCTGTCTCCAGCAGGGGGTGGTACATATCTCCCTGGAGTCTGCCAGTACAGCCTGGGGCCTATGCAGACCATTTGGTCACACAGTGTAACCCCTCTGAGATCTTCAGTGAGGAGATGAAAGGGAAGTTTGCTCAAATCCTGGCCAACATTGAATCAGGAGGCCACTGGGACCCCAAACGCCAACTGCCATTGTGCACATGACTGCCCCTGGCAGCAGTTCCGTCAATTAGTGAGTGTAATTGAGTCAAGACATAATTACTCTACCTTGAGCTGTTCAGGTTTCATTCCATTCACATCATTTGATGAAACTGAGGGCCCTCCAAGGATGGATATTAAAGGGGGATAGGTGTGATCCAAACTTTCCTCTGTCCTTAACTCAAGCGTGGGTCACTGCTGCCCCCAAATGTCCCTCTGTTATTATGAAGCCTGTGTATCAGCTCCATCCTAGATTTATGGTCCTGTGATTCACTCATGGTTGGAATCTCAGGCAGCCTGATCTCCGATCAGCTTGGCTGCTATGGAGTTCACAGGAAGAATGCCTAGCTTGGCCCTGCATTTGTCCTGTTCTGGCTAGCTGGAACACCACCATAGCAGTGTTGGGCTGGGATATTTCAGTGTTATTAGATTCATTACATGGATGAAAGAGTGGAATGGAGGGGAGAATGCATGGTAAGAGGGTTGGTAGGTAGAGCAAAAAATGGATGGGTGTGTGTGTGTGTGTGTGTGTGTGTGTGTGTGTGTGTGTGTGTGTATGTGTGTAAGGAAAGAACAAGGCAGAATGGTTCTTGGGAGTCAGGTAATCTACCTGCCCCCTGGCTCAAAGATTATGCTCATAGGGAAATGGGGGAACAATCCTAAAGGGACTGGCAAGCCAGTTGGCAATAAGGATGCCTATGCCGGAGAATCCTTTTTCCTTTATTGCCTTTTATCTGTTCATCAGCCTTTCCATCCATCTATCCACCCATCCACCCACCCATCCATCCACTCACCCGTCTATCCTTCCATCATCCATTCATCCATCTGTCCATCCATCCATCCGTCCATCCATCCATCCATCCATCCATCCATCCATCCATCCATCCATCCATCCTTCCATCCATCCTTCCATCCAGCCAGCCAGCCAGCCATTGTATCTATCCATCCTATTCAAACCACCTACCTATCTTCTGCCTGAGCATCAACTTCTAGACCTCTTTTCTCCAGCCAACCAATTCAAGGCACTTAAACTGCACGCCCTGAAAGCCATTCTGTTATTTTCTAGAGAAAAGGTCTCCTGAGGTCACTGGGGAGGAAGCACCCATTTTATTCACCACATTCCATTGCCTTCTCACATATTTCCCTTGTATAACTCACCATGATTCATGCTTTCATCCCTTAGGCTGCTAGCTCTCAAATCTCTGTCTTCGATTCAGGTGACTCCATGAGCCCCAGAGCCTGACGTCTGGCAGTTTTCTGGATACCCCTCCTTTATGCCACAATGGACAGCTCAAACCCGGTGTTTCCCACACTAATTATATAACTTTTGTGCAAGGCTGTTTCTCCTTCTGTGATCCCTAGATCATGGATGTGATGTAGAAATGCTCAAGCAAGAAAATAGCACTCATCCTTGAGACATTCCCCCCGCCCAGCCTCATCCTGGTCCTAGTGAGTTTACCTTCTGAATGTGCATGAATCTTCCCACTTCTTTCCGTAGCAGTATTGTCTTAGTCTGTTCTGTTATTGCCCATCCCCTGTAGTTCTGGATCCACCTCTGTCCGGGTTTCCTGGCTCCTGGCTCCCTTCCCTTCCTCACAGCTCCTAACAGCACGTGTTCTAACATCCAAATATGCTGTCCCTTGGTTTAAAGTCCTCTCAAGCCTTCTTATAAAGTTTCAGATCTCAAGACAATTCAGTGCCTCCGTAGTCTCACTTCCGAACACACTTCCTTAGGCCCCCAGAGACTCCATGATAGTTTCCACACTTAGTGCTCTTTCTTCTCTCTAACTTTGTTTCCCCCCACCTAATTCCTATTCACTGTATCGGTCAGCTTCTCCTCTAGTTTTCTCTGACCAGCCCTTGTTCTGAATTTCAGCCACTATTCTCGGTCCCAATGGCAGTTCCTGGTGGCCCCGTCACTTCTCTTCACTCGGAGTTCCTGTCTCCACTCTACATGTTTACGTCTCCCACCACCCTGACCTTTCTACAGCCAGTGATGCCGGCACCCAGAATAAGGTGTGATAGATACGGTGACTGACTGACTGAATGAAGTGCAGCCTGGTGATAGTCCACGAAGATAAGTCTATGGTGAAGGGGTCTGGTGAGCTCATCATATGGGGTGTGGTTAGATTATGAAAGCAGAACTCTCTGGGGGTAGCTGAGGATTAGGGGTGAAGGAATCATTATTCCAAAGTGTGATGTATTTATTTTCCAAAGCCATACTCAAAGATGCAGCCCTTTCAGACACAGGAATGAATACCCGTCAGTGGGAGCTAGAGAGGAAGTGGTGGTGGTGGTGTATCGTGACGACAGTTGCTGGGTTCCTATCCCAGCTCTGCCCAGCGTGAACTCATCAGGTCACTCTAACTCTGAAGCCTTATGTGGTTTTTTTGTTTTTTGTTTTGTTTTTGGGAGGCCATCAGAAGTCTCCTTCAGCCCTAACCCAGTTCTGCCAAGGTCACTGGCTCAGCTCACTCCGTGTCCGGGGCTGGCTGGAAGCTGCGAGTGGGACTTCCCCAAACAGAGTTGCTCAGGAGCTAAAAATCAAAAGTCCAGGGTGTATGGAGAGAGAACCGCACAGCTTACCTGAGAGGATGAAGAAGATGCCAGAGACAAAGGCCAGTATGGTCCGGTGGGGACGGATGTGCCCGATGTTGCTCAGGATGAACCCGATGAACATGAAGAAGAGGCTGACGAGTGGGAACGGGGTGGCTGAGCGAATCATTTCTAACACAGGGAAAAAGGGACAGCCTGTCAGGCTACCACAGCGACCTTCCTTCCTTGCCTCATTCCAGGAAGTGTGTTCTGCAATGTCTACTGACAGGTCCTCTAAGCCCTAGTCCCACACGAGTGGCCTACAGGCTCTCCTGGTGCTGGCAGGCCTGTGAGGTGTGGCTCCAATTGCCAACATATTCTGAGATTTGTCTCCCCTCCAGGCAAAAGCTCCCCTCCCAGGAGTCTACATTGCCTGTCTATAGGAGAGCCGTGACACGCCTGGTCACGTCATCTTGCCTCACCTTTAAGAGACATCCACCATCTCCAAGGGTACAGAGCATGCTCTGAGTGTTCAGGGGACTGGCGCTGGCCCCTTTCTTTTTCAATTTATAATCACTTGGGGGAGTTCTACTGTATAATAAAAAATTTGCTCTTTGTCTCTGGTTCCTAAGAGGCAATCTAAATCCCCAGAATTTCCCATAGAGTATCTTTGTTATTCATGTGGGCTCTGGAGAGCAACTGAGTTTATGCTAACAGGTGACCCAGGATGGAGGCAGGAAAGAACAGCCACACTGATGAGAGGATTGAGGCTTGGGGCCATGTGACATAAGCCTGATCTCCCAGGCGAGAAGGGGCTGACACTGAATTTAGTCATTCATACTGTAGTAGACATTAGCCATTATTTAGAGATTATTTGAAGTCTGCTGGACAAGTGTGTTGGTTCTATGCACATCAAACATTAAGCCATTTTTTATAGCAGATGTAAGTGTTCATAGATGTTTATATCCAGAGGGTCCTGGAACCAACTCTAATAGACCAAGGGGATGAACTGTACTGTAACACTGCAAGTTCCTGCTGAGAGTCAGAGCAAATCTGGTGAGGTCAAGGTCATAAAGTCAGCTTGTTACAGTCCAGAGAGGTTGCTTCAGTCTGGGTATGAGTGTTCCTTCATTTCCTGGGGTCAGAGATATGGGGGTTCCAGCAACCTAGCTTCACCCTGGAAAAGTGACTCTTCAGAGCAAGCGCTAGTGAACTAGACCAGTATAATCAGCCAAGGCCAAGGGCATTAGCTCTTAGAAAGGTCCTGGGTGTTTGACTCTTCCCTTTGTCTGGCTCTCTGTCCCACCAGTGGCCCAGCTTAGAATGTTCTAGACACCTACTTAGAACATTGACTGTGGACTCTGACGTTATCTGGGAGTTCATGGGCATCACATACTCTATGGTGAAACAGCGTCCTCGCTCCTCACCTGTGGAGACAAGAAATTACTGCTATTTCCAGGTCCTACTCCAACACAGATTTGAGGTTAGTACATTCCAAATGCTTCTAGGATCCTTGGGCCTATGTCTCTGCACCTGGGCTGGATAAACACTCTAGGGAAGTTTTCATCCCTTGGCTGGTGGCCCCCAGCAGGGGTGGGGGATGTGTCTTGGTGCCACTTTCTTCCTGAAGCCCGGGAACAGGTCGGCACTATGAAATCTATACCCATCAAGCATCTGGTACCATCTGTTGCTTTTGACTGGTGATGATGGTGCATGGCTGTCTCAGATGCATGTGCAGATTTTTGTGCAATAACCCCCCCCCCACACAACCCTGTCAATCAGACCCTAGTGGCCTCAAACTCTGCTTCTAGTTAAGCCGAGATGGATGGCACAGCATCTGGAGCAGTGAGAGATGAGATCAGAGTTGGATGCTGTTCCTAAAGCAAACGCTACAGAGTGACACAGGGTAGCCAGGCTGGAGCTGGATGTGTTCCTTCTGCTAAACTTCATCTAACCTCTGGCCTATCCATCAAAGCCCTAGCATCAAGATGGGTGAAAAAGCTGGGGGAACAAGCTATATCTTTTCTCAATGTGCATACAGGCTCCAGGATCCCACAAGAGAAGCTCAGGGACCATACTGTGGCTATCCTGGCTAGCACAGTTTACACAGGTCTTGCGGAACACGGGGATGCTTCTCTTGTGTAGGGTGGAACTTGGCTGTGATAAAGGCCTCAAGGATAGGGCTCTTGGTGTAGCAACTCACTTGGTTCTAGAGAATCCCCAAGTCCACAATAGTAGGATCAAAATTTGCACCTTCCCGGAAAGACCCATTTATGTTTTCTTTGTGAGGCCATTTCATGGACAGAGGAACAGGAAACTGCTGAATATTTCCTGTTCTTTAACCTTGTGGATGTCAGGGAAGTAGGAGTCTAGATGTGCTTAGCCTGCCGGAGTCTTCACTTCCTCATTTGTAAAGTGGTAATGATGTCTTCCTTGCAGGGTCATTGGCTAAATTGTGTGCAATCAATAACATGTGTAGCTAAGGTAAGGCCTGTAAGAGTGGTTTAGAGCTGGGGGTATCATTGACCGCTGGAACACAGAGTGTGGGAAAACCAGGCTTGCATGGATCTTTTAGGAGGGAAGAAAGCCCTGGACCTGAGAGAGCTTGTTCTCTGGACACTGGGGTCTGAGCTTGGGTCTGGAGTCTGATGGCTGCTTGCAGCACTGCCTAGAGTGGAGAATGTCTATGCTGAACTTCTACTGGCACCTCCCAGGTGTCTCTAAATAGGGAGAAAACCCCGTGGGGCAGGTATTCCCCAGGGCAGGACTGTCCTTACCAGCGAGGAAGCAGACCCGCCAGAGGCCTGAGTGCAGGGACATCTTGACCTCTGTGCTCTGGTTCTGGGGAAGGATGATGCCTTCCTCCAGGTACAGCCAGTAGTCCGTGCTGACTGCGATGCCCAGCAGGCCCAGGCCGCAGACAGCAAAGACACTGCTCAGCAGGGTCAGGGCTTTCCTCCCACAGGCGCTCATCTTCGTGGATGGTCACCAGGCAGCCAGCGGTGCTGTCTCACGGGAGCAGAATGGGCTATGGGGACAGGGCAGGAGTGTGAGCATGAGGCAGTGAGCAGTAACTCAAGCCAATCTTCTCAGAGTCAATGAACGAATAAGAGCAACTAGGCTACTTCCAGTTTCTAGACCATCTCCACATAAGGGCGACCCTCTCCCTTTGCCCCTCAGGAATTCACAGCTTTCTCTTAAAGCTGCTGTATCTATTCCCTTATCTTCTGAGTCCCCCTTACTACACATTACCATTCATCTTTCCACCTATCCACCCACATCCACCCATCCACCTATCTATCTATCTATCTATCTATCTATCTATCTATCTATCTATCTATCTATCTATCTATCTACTCATTTGTCCATCCATCCATCCATCCATCCATCCATCCATCCATCCATCCATCCATGCATACATGCACCCTGCCAGATATGAGAGATGTAAAGATGAGCATTCTGCCCCTTCCCTTGAAGAACTACCTATCTAGAACAATGGTTCCCCCAAAGAAGTCCAGTGTAACCCATTGAAAACCATGGCTGAGACACTAGACAGGGAAACGTGGAGACCAAGCTCTTCTGGGTGGGTGCCTCTGAGTTGTCAAGGTCTCTGAGGGTCAACTGTCCTCTGACAGCAGGCTCCAGAAGTGGGCAGCAGCCTTGGGGAGACACAAAGGAACCGAGAAGGCTGCTTGCAGGTAGTGATCCTCATGGGACTCTGATCCAAGGGAGTCTGGGTCAGCACATGTAAAGCAGCCAGACCAAAGGTTGACTTCAACAGGCCTCCAAAATCCACCTGAGTGGATGTGGAATGATTGTTCTTTGCCTAGAGTTCTTCATTGTCAGGGGCCAGCTCTGAACCATCCAGAGAAAAGCTGAGAGTCTGCAGGGTGAGACATGAATTCATTTGATGCTTCCGGGGCTTACGGAAGTGGTGAAGAAGTAGAGAAGTAGAGTAGATGGATGCTAGCCCCACAGAGCCCATGGCCTGGCTTGGGGCATCTATTCTAAGGCTGCAACCAAGAATCACCCAGGAGCGCCTAAGAGTCCTTTATTCTGGGTTGCCTCACAGAGTCTGTTAGGGTGTTTGTCAGGACCTGAGTGACGGCATTGAAAAAGTTCTCCCAGGTAATTCTAACATGAAGTTGAGAAATATTGATCTTGGCTGTTCCAAGTGCTGTCTGTGGACCTGCAGCATTGGCATCGCTAGGGAGCTGGTTTGAAAGGCAGACTCTGAACCCTCCAGTGTTGTTATGGGTTAGGTCTGAAATGATCCCCCATAGGCTTGTGGTTTTGAATACTTGGGTCCGAGCTGGTAGTGCTGTTGGGGGGGGGGAGTTATGAAACCTTTGGTACTATTGTCCAGCAGGCAGAAGTGGGGCACTGGGGACAGACCATGAAATTATGTCTGCCTCTGGTTTTTGCTTCACCAAGACGTGAGGAGGCTCTTCTGCTGCCACAAGCTCCATGCCTTCCTCTCTATGATGGATGGACTGGAGCCATGAACCCAAATAAATCTTTCATCCATTAAGTTGCTTCTATTGGGGATTTTGTAATAGTGATGAGAAATGTAGATAATCAATTTGCATTCTAAGGAGACCCAGGTGAGTTTGTCTGCTCGCTAACATCTGAGAAACACTGGGCCAAGTTAACAAGTGACAGCATTGCAGTGTGGCACTTGCTGTTCGAGTGTGATGCCACCCTGATTAGATTTAGAGTCACCATGGAAACACACCTCTGGCTGTGCTGTGAAGATGTCTCCAGAAAGGTTTAACTAAAGGAAGACCCATCCTGAACATGGACAGTGGCATCTATAGGGCGGGGTCCTAATCTGAATGAAAAGGGAGCTGGGGTCCTAATCTGAATGAAAAGGGAGCTGGGGTCCTAATCTGAATGAAAAGGGAGCTGAGCATACCTCTTCACCCCTCCCTGCTTCCTATAGGCACAACGCGGCCAGCTGTCTCATGCCCCTGCCACCGTGATTTCACCACCACAGTGGACTGTGTGCCCTCAAACCCTGGGCTAACACAGGCTAACTCTTCCTCACGTTGTTTCTGTCATATGCATTTTGTTACAATGAAAAAGGTTACTGATATGTAGGAGAGCTCAGAATGTGACCAAAGCCCAGAAGAAGGCAGGCAGAGCCACTTCTAAAAGATGTAAGCCTAGGGCGACAAGGACAAGTGTCACATCTAGCGGCCCTGCCACCAAGTTCCAGTGGTGTGGGCAGCTTTGGATGTTCCAAGGTTAGAGACTTTGAAATGGTGCAGTGTTGCCTTGGCAGGGTCCACCAAGCACAGGGCCTGGGTGGTGTCCCGAGGACCCTACCGAGGGATGATGTCATGCCTTGGCCGAGATCTAAGTATAGGTGGATGCCAAGCTACCCGAAAAGCATCACAAACCAGGTTTGTCTGTAAAGTTGAGCTCCCTTCTGGGTGGCAGGGGATAGGGTGTTGGCACTCTTTGCCTGGAAGGGGTCATCCCACAGCAGCAGCCCTGTTCTAGCGGCTGACCACGGGAGAGTTGGGAGAGCTACAGAATGGGCCACATACTGGCTCACTGGAGGTGTGTCAAGGCAGTGGGTCTGCAAGGCAGAGTGTGGAAAGCTAAACAACCCTTCCTGCGCTGACTTTGACAAGGAAGGGAAAAGTGAAATGCTAAGTCATTCACGACACAGTATGCTGAGGGCTAGAGCAATTGTTCTGGGGAATATTCTAGCAGGGGGGAAGGTGTCAGGAGGCACTGTTTCTTGGTTTTGAAGAATTGCATTGCATAGGGTAAAGGCTGACAACACAGTTTACTTTTACTTACTCAAACTATCCCCAGACTTATCTGGCCACAAAAGGGGTCGGGAAAACCCACTTTGGGAACGCAGCTGTTCCTCTGGAGGATAAAAAGACCTGTTCCTACCCCTCCCCAGAACTGCTGGGGGATTAACTGCCACAGTGGATAGGACCGTAGCTTGCAAGAGCCAAGGCTGGACTCAGTGTAGGGTATTATTATTCAGTAACAATGGACTAAAACCCCACTTTTCCCAGAGCAGACAGATAGGGACGCTTGAAATATGACAGCTGTTGCCCGGCGGAAGCTGAGCAGCCAATTTTAATGTTAAGCTTGGCAGAGATGAGAAAGATTTGGGTCTTAGAGATTTGAAGAGATGAAAATGGAGAGGAGATTGGATCCAAATCAGTAAAAAAACATAAAAGAAGAGGCTGAAGGTGACCTTGCCTGAGAACTCTATAAGGACAGGGCCTAAAGTCTGAAGCGTGCTTAGGCAAACCCCAAGAGTCCTCTTCCTTTCTGGAGAATGGGACAACTGTATTGGGGGAGTGAAAAGCAAAAAATTAGCAATTCATTGCAAACATAGTTGTAGCAGGAATCTTAACAGGTCTTATTAATAAAATCAAACCTGAGGCCAGTTATTGTGGTGAATGCTGGAAGATCAGAGAAGCAGAACAAGCCACAGCTATCTCACCTTTCCAGTTCCTCAGCTGATCCTATTTCCTCAGACTGGATGCCTCTCAGCTGAACTGCTGCTCAAAGCCTAAAAGCTTAACCAGCTAAAAGCTTCTAGTTTCTGGTCTTCACGCCTTATATACCTTTCTGCTTTCTACCACTACTCCCTGAGATTAAAGGCTCACTTCTTGGGATTAAAGGCGTGTGTCACCATGTCTGGCTGTTTCCAGTGTGACCTTGAACTCACAGAGATCCAGAGGGATTTCTGCTTCTGGAATGCTAGGATTAAAGGCATGAGTGCCACCATTTTCTAGCCTCTGTATCTAGTGGCCGTTCTGTCTCTGACCCCAGATAAGTGTATTAGGGTGCACAATATTTTGGGGAACACAATACCACCACACATAGTTATACCCCCCCAACTGAGGACCAAACCCAGGGTCTTGCACTTTACTAGGCAAGCGCTCTACCACTGAGCTAAAACTCCAACCCCATAGTTATACTTTTATTGTGGTGTCATATTTATTTATAAAGTACCGACTGTCAATTACTGCACAAAGCCTTCCCCAGTCTCTTACAGTAACCCCATGAGTAGTAGTAGTAACTCCATTTCATGGATGGGGAAACTGAGGCTTAGAGGTGTCAAGCAGCCTACAGGATATCAGAGGCGGCAGACTGGATTGAAACCAGGTCCAACTCCAGACTCTCTGCCTACACCCTATGATTTTCTACTGGAGAACTGAGTGGGCTCAAGGAGTGTCCAGGTGATGGAGAAGCACGCAAAGGGGACCTTCAAGAATCTAGAAATGCGTAAGACACGGGTCTTTAGATAATTTTCTAAATGGTCAAGTCTTACATAAGGGTTGGAGTAACAAATGTTTTGGGGCTTCCTATGGGGTGCCTCTGGGGTGTAGCTTCTGGTATCATTTCCACGGTGGGTCACTGTGACTCAGCGTTTCTGATTCTGAAAACCACATTGTAAGCAATGAGACTAATATTTCCCTAAACCCCGTGTCAGGCAACGAGGTTCCAGGAGGCAGGAGTACCAGAGACAAGCCAGTCTGTTATTCCAAGGAATGAAAGTACAAAATAGCAACATATGGGCAGATCTTTTACGGGAGTGCTGGGGGTCAAGGTCAGTTTCTAGGTCTTACGCATTTCTAGATTCTTGAAGGTCCCCTTTGCATGCTTCACCATCACCTGGACACTCCTTGAGCCCACTCAGTTCTCCAGTAGAAAATCATAGGGTGTAGGCAGAGAGTCTGGAGTTGGACCTGGTTTCAATCCAGTCTGCCGCCTCTGATATCCTGTAGGCTGCTTGGCACCTCTAAGCCTCAACATGTTATAAATAAATATGATACCACATCACTCATTTATCAAGTCATCTCCCTCGCCCTGTCTTCTGATGCCCGCTTTTCTGTCTCCTGACTCTCATCCCCCTACAGTTAAAGCTTTTCTTTCTTCTCTCTTGCTGGTGGGAGAGGACGACAAGTTGTATTATAAGTTGCCACCACATGAGAGATATTCACCTTAGGATGGTCAATGAACAGAGCAGACTGCAAAACCATGAATTTA